AAATTTCAATCTGTATTTCCAGAACCAACTCGAAAATCGATATGAATGTGATTCCGACAAACGAAACATTAGAAGATTTTATGGAAAAAGAAGGAAAATAATCATCGAAAAACAAATTGAGATTATGATATTCGGAAAGAATAGGAAATGAATTAGCTAGAGGGAGAAGTATCCCATAATTAAGGGTATTTGGATCTCATGAACCAGAGTGACACCACCAATTTGATTTGAAAGATCATAATATATGGAAAACAATTTGCACGAAAACTACTTCATATGTTAAGAAGCTTCTGAGATGAGGTCGCGCACGTTGTAACTAATATCCTGGGTTTCAGAAAATATAGTGGAGTATGTGGGAAAGTTTTAAGAAAATTTAAAAAGAACTGATTCGACTATGTATTAATTTAAGCATTTGGATTTTTGGTAACTTATAATTCTTAAGGAATTTCACAATTAATCTTGTGACGTTGCTCAAAGGTTACAACTTGTGAAACTTAAAGCACTTTCCCGCATTGAGTTGTGTGTCTATAAGATTAACCCACAAGGATTTTTAACATTTTTTTTCTTCTTATAACTAAGGTTTTTTAACATTGGAGTTTAGATTTCAACAAATGTAAAACATGGTGTGAGAATCTCAAAAGTTAATGAAGAAGAAAACAAATAACCAGGCAAACAATGAGACGATATATGCTTCCTTTTAATTTCAAGATTAATTGGACTGATTGTTCGATCCAAGTTATAATCTATTTATTAATCGGGTTTTTAATTTCAATGAAGAAAATATAAGTTCTAAAGTATACGCCTCTCTCGATGCCCTAACCATTATGTCAATCCTGTCAAATTACTAAATAGTATTAAGAAACGAAGAGAGTATATATAAGTTAGGGTCGAAATAGCAACATTGTTAATGACTGTTAAGAAGCAACTATATTTGTCGATCATGTCAACAAATATATGACAAATAAAGAATGTTACAGCACCATTATACACAAACCTATTAAAAAAAAATTCTGTTTGAGCACATAACGGCTTCGTTCTCTAACCGATCACTTTTCG